TTTTTGCTTTAACCATCAAGCATAATTTAGAAAACTCAAAAGAAGAAAGCCTACTGTATATACCTATATTTCTAATTATTATGTCTATCTTCTTGATGTTTCAAGTGTTCTTTCATTATATCCTTACTGTGTAGAGAAATTTTCTTTATTTTTTATTTTAGGGTGTATCTGCTGGCAGCAGATTTCCTTATTTTTCCTTCATTTGACAATGTTTTCGTTTCTGCTTTATTCCTGAAGGATATTTTTTGTTGGGCATAAGATTCTAGGTTGGTAGTTATTTTCTCTGAACACCTGACAAACAATTTACCAGTTTTATCTGACCTCCAGGTCCACTATTATCTTTCTATTTTTTTTTTTTTTACCTTACATGTAAAGTTTTGTTTCTTTCCCACTTCTTTCACAATTTTTTCTCTGTCTTCAGTTTTCTGAAGTTTAATTATGATGTGTCTTGGCATGGGATTCTTTGGGTTATCCTGTTTGTGCTTTGCTCAGTTTCTTGAATCAGTAGGTTTATGTCTGTTTCCAAATTCAGGATGTTTTCAGCCATTATTTTATTTTGTTCTTTTTTTTTAATCTCCATACTCTTTCCTTTCCACCTGGGGCCCTAATCAGATGAACATTCAATCTTTTGTTATAGTCTCACAGGTCCCTGTTGCACTATTTATTTTTTATAGCATATTTTCTGTTTGTTGTTCAGACTGAGTAATTTTTATTGTTCTAGCTTCAAGTTCACTGATTCTTTCCTCTGTTCTCTCTTTTCTGCTGTGGAGCCCATCCCTGAGGTTTTATTTTGATTACTGTACTTTTAGTTCTAAAATTCCTATTTGATTCTTCTTTATACCTCCTATTTTTTTTTGCTGAAACATTCTGTCTTCTAGCTGAGGCTTTCTATGTTTTGTTTCAAACGATATTATAATTGTTTATTGAAGTATTTTTATCATGGCTGTGTTAAGACCTTTTTTTTTTTATGACCAGTAAGGGGATCGCAACCCATGGCATGGTGTGGTCTGCACCACACTCAGCCAGTGAGCACACCGGCCATCCCTATATAGGATCCGAACCCGCGGCCTTGGAGCTAACAGTGCCGCACTCTCCCAAGAGTGGAGGGCAGGCCCCTGTTTTAAGACCTTTGACAGATGATTCTAAGGTCTTTGTTATCATGGTGTGGGCATTTATTGATGTCTCTTTCCATTTAGTTTGAGATCTTCCTCTTTCTCGGTATAAAAAGTGATTTTTCTATTGAAACTTGGAAATTTTAATTTTATGTAGGGGGAGGAAAAGGTATAAGCACAACTACTTTATCTTCCCAAAACTGGAAGTCCATAATTCTAAATATCTTTAAAACAGATATTTTACATATGTTTTCTTCTTAGGAAAAAATACTTTTTATGATAAATTTTTTTTTATCAGGAAAATGTGTAAATATCTATAACACTTTCAGATTAAAACAGAGTTGTTATTTATAAATATGTATATGAATAATTTTCTTATGTGACATTCATCAATCCCTATTTCCTGAAAAAATTCTTCTGGGAAAAGTCATGTACTTATTTCCTATGTACAGAGCTTTATTATTTTTTAACCACCTTCAGTTCCATATCTTAATCTTTTTTATGCTTTCCTTCCACAAGATTCTCAGTAAATAGATATAGCTGCATGTGTGCATGTGTATGTATATATGTTTATATAATGAATATGTACTTAGTTTTTAATATACATAAATAATAATGTCAATATAATTTATCACTTTATTGTACTCTCAATTTCACATAAAGTCATTCATTAACTAAAATTTTAGGTTGGTTGTGAATATTACTAAACAAATACTACACCATTCCATTTTAATCTTTCTTTTTGAACACTTGTATCAATTTCAGTATTATTTGGGTTGTACAATTTAAGAGTGGAAAATTCTAATTCATGGCTTTTTATATTTTAGTGCTAATGTTTAGAAAGAATACTTATTTATTGTGTCTTTGAAACATAATTTAAAAAGAAGTGTAACTACTCAAATCACCTTTTTAGTTAGGCTATCTTCTAGGAAGAAATTTGGGGTCAGGATTACTTTTAGGAGAAATTTCTGTGGTTTTTCACATATTTGTTTTATGTTCCATACCACTTACTTATATGCAAACATAATACTAGAAATATAGTTATTTAAAATAGAAGTGATATAATTTAACTAGTTATGGGAGGCTAGAATATTAAAAAGTGTCTGTATTCTTTTCTAAGAATAGAATTAAATTAGATGTCTGTGTCTACGTGGTGAGTTGTTTTTTGTTTTTTTGTTTTTCTAATTCAGAAGACACTGCTACTTTATATTTAAAATTCAATTTCATATTCCCAGTGGTAACTCTTGCTCTTTGAATTGCTCTTTGAATTCTCAGCTAGTTTTAAAGTCTCAGATCTAGAAGGAATTCCAGAGGTCTTTTTATGCCTAACTTATACATGAGTGTAATACTCTGAGCCACAACAATCTCTGCTTACTATCTTGCACACTTTTGAAAAGAAATAGTAAATTTATCTCCTCATGTAAAAATAACAGTGCCTAAATAATAGGCTATGAAGAGCTGCTATGGACATTGAAACAAATATTTAAGAAAATTTACAAACTAGTGATATGATTTTCATGTTTTCTTAATTCCTTTCATCAGCTCATATAGCTAAAATATATATTTTTTGTTTTAGTATAAAGAAAGAGAAAACATATTGCCAATAATGTTATTCCCCACTGCTCCTCTTGAAGCCTTCCTGAAAAGATTACAAGAGTAATAATGACTAATATGAAATTGTCACATCTTCATTTATAGAATAGGTTCCATTCAATATCGATATTCAGCCACATAAGCAATCATAATTATGCTAAAACATAAATAAGTTTAATTTAACCCACATAAATGTTTCCATGTTAAATGTTACAGGTCTGAGACAGCTCCTCACTGCTTACATGATGAATTGCAAACTTCTTATCAGCCATGTAAGGCGCTTTTTGAAATATCTACTTTCTTCTTATCTCTCATTCTTCTGTGTTCTTATGGAAGTACCCGAAGTCCTTAACCAGGTCATGCTTTATGACAGCTCTGCGCCTTTGTGAAGTTTGTTTCTTCGCTACAAAATGTTCCTTGTATGGATGGCAATCTCAATTCAGGTCACCTCCTCCATGAAATCTTCCCTGGCCAGTTCTTCCTCTGCGGAAATTGAGGCACCTCCCTCTTGCCCACACTGTACATAACCCACAGTGACTTTCTATCATAGTGTCTAGGACTCTTCATTGGCCCTGTGTAATTACATGATTGTGAATTTGTTGAAGGCAGAGCTTGTTGTTACATTTGTTATGTCTTCTTTCCTGTTTTTTTTTTTTTTTTTTTTTTTTTAATGTTCTAGAGCTAAGGTCTTCACATAGTCCATAATGTTTAGTAGATGCTTGGGAATGCTTTCTTCTGCATCACATAGTTATAGGTTGAGAAAAAGATTTTTCATCCCCTTTCCACACATCTCAGAAGGATTTTCAGAAAATCCTGGGAGGTCTGAAACACTTTATTACTTGTACCTATAATTCTAAAAAATGAAAATATGAAGTAACAAAAATAATTTGAAAAAATTCAGTCATGCCATGGGTGCCCTATGGGAGGCCACACCAGGCAAAGGAAGCAGTTGAGGTACGCTGGCCTGCCCTTAGAAGAAGGGGGGCCCGTAGCAGAAGGCCTGGCCAGGTGTGCTCTTAGTGGCAATGGGGCCCTTATCAGCAGGCATGGCTGGGGCCCTGGGGGGGTCTTTATTTCATTCTTTCTTTCTTTTTCTCTCTCCCTTTCCCTCCCCTCCCCTTCCCTTCCCTTTCCTTTCCTTGGGTATTCCAGGCCATGGACATCTTCCCAGAGGCCAGACCTGGCAAGGGAAGCTATAGGTGTAGCCTGGCCTTCCATGAGCAGAAGAAGGGCCCTTAGCAGTAGGCCTGGCAAGTCACGCCCTTAGTGGCAGTGCAGCCCCTATCAGCATGCCTGGGGCATTTTTTCTTTCTTTCTTTAATTTCTTTCTATTCTCTCTCTCTCTCTCTCTCTCTCTCTCTCTCTCTCTCTCTCTCCCCCCCTCCCTCCCTCCCTCCCTCCCTCCTTCCTTCCTTCTTTCCTTCCTTCCTTCTGGTATTCCAGGCCATGGGTACCCTATGGGAAGACAGACCAGGCAAAGGAAGAAAAGAAAAAGAGAATTCAGTCATTTAATTTGTGTGTATTGACATATACCAAATTTTATTTGGAAATCATTTCAAAAGTCTAAATTAGAAACTTTTGTCCCACAATCCCCTCCTCACCCCATAACTTTGTTGATTGACCAATCTCAGCAATAATCATCTGTGACTTGAGTGATTTGGTCCCAGTCATAGTGTGACACAACACAATTTTAAAAGAATGTTGGTCTTTGTAACAGGTCATGTCCTCAGCAATAGAACAGTTGAATATGACATGTCTTCTCCCCAAATGCTCAGATTAGGGAAATAAAGTACTATATAATTACTCTATATTTATGGGGAGAAAAAAGAAGTCCGAGATGAATATTCTCCCTCTCTTAGTCACAGAAACAATATTATCTATTTAAGACCATCCCACTTCTGACCCTTAAGCTGAAGAAGCGGACTTATCATTTTATTTCCTTTATTAAAATGCAACATATATTTGACCACAATTTAATATTGAAACAAATTTTAGTGTTATAATTGATCTCTTATAATGCTCTTTTAAAATTAGTAAGTATTTAGGTAAGGTTATAGTTACTCATCCAAAATTAAAGACTTTTATTTATTTATTGCATTGATTTTTCTGTTGTCGTAACAATTGGTTTTAAGCCAGCCCCTAACGTATTGTATTATTCTTTTTAAAAAGTTATCAGAATTACTAAAGATTATCAAGTATTTACACCAGCTAACACATTTTTATTATATTGCACTAAGATGAGTTTCTATGTAAATAATTGAACTAATAAAAAATTTCCTTTTCAATTGAAAACAGAATGACATGGAAGAACTTGATGACATTTTTACATCCGTATTCAAATATGAGATACCATATTATGAGTTTCAATCTCTTCAAACTAAAATCTACCCTCAAAAAGAATGTGAGTATTTTCCAACTGCATCAATTATCCTTTATATAATATTCTACTATATGTAAACTTTAAAAAATATTATAGCCAAGAATATAGCTAGCTGCACTGCTGAGTAAGTGTTTTAGACAACTTCTAACTCCTGGTGAAAGGGTACACTAGAGTGAATTTCTGAAGGTCTATTTGGTAATTTTTTTATCACAGGCCATAAAAATATGTATAAATTTTGAAATTAGCAAACCCATTTCCTGATTTTTATTATGAGGAAATATTTGGACAAATACATTTATGATGGAGACTATTCATCATATCACTGTTTGTAATTACCCAAAAATGTAAATAACATAATCTTCTACAGATAGGTAGTTAATTATATAAATTTTGGTAAATTCGTTAATGCAACCATCAGAAATTAATTTTATTATAAATTTATTTGCTGGGTGGAGGGATGTTTTGATGTATACTTAATTGAAAAAAAGCAGTCAATAGAGTGTGATCCTCTGTTTAAAAAAGTATATACATTTAATAGCATATATTTATATTTATATAAATTGATATATATTTTATATATATATTATATTTTATGTATATTTTATATATATTATATATAAATAAATATATATTTATATAAATTGATAGTCTGGAAAGATGTGCACCTAGTGTTTGTAGTAGTTATGTTTCAGGTGTGCAATTTAAGGGATTACATTTCTATTTTTATTTTACTGAATTTGTATTTTGTACAATGACTATGTATTATTTGTATGGTTAAAAATATACAAATATCAAGAAAAGTATATATAGAAGTTACTCATGAAAAATTATATTTCCAAATTTATCATGAGCTCAGTTTATATTTTAGAAAATTTTTATTCCTGAATACTTTGCTGACACTCTGTTTATAATTCATTTGTATGCCCACTGTGTGCAAAACATTAAGGTAGAGATGTAATGGTGAATAAGACAGGCATGGAGCCAAAGAACATGAGAAGTCTAGTGTTGGCATATTAAGGACTAATGAGCAGGGGGTTTTTCCTTCGGGTTTCTGTGCTATTTAAAGCAGTTTTAACATCAGCCTGGCAAGCTCCATATTATATCCACTTGGCTCAATATTATATTCACCTGCAGAGCTTTTAAAACATCCCACACCGTAGGGTGTGCCTATACTAATTAATGAAGAATCTGGGGGTAGGTCCCAGCTCTCAGTATTTTTAAAAGTTTCCCAGGTGATTTCAATGGGCAGACAAGTTTCTCAGCCCTTAATTGCTTCAATGTATTACAGACTAGTAAAATAATTCATCCTCATACAGAGAAAATACTACTGTCTTTACAAAAGTTGGAAAGCTGTTAGCATATGAAATATGCTATATAATAAATATAAAATGCAATTACTTTTTTAAAAAATGCTTTTAAAAAATAGAAAGTTATGGTTACTAGAGGTGGGAAAAGGGAAGTGGGGGGGGTTAGAGAGTAACCGGGTTAAGATACACAAAAAGTAATTATGATTTGTAATGATGAACATGCTAATAACGTTGATTTTACCATTACATAATCTACACAAATACAGATAGTCAACTCTGTGCCCCATATATATGTATAAATACAAATAATAAAAATTAAAATTAAAAATTAAAAAAAATAGAAAGTTCAATATAATCTAGAGAGTTCATTCAGAAACTTATTGCTAGATATTGTTGGAAAACAGATGCTATTCTCAGTTTTTTAGCTGAAATAAATTGGAGTTTAGGACATTGTGACGGGAAAGTAGTCATAAGGAGCTGACAAAGTGTACCTTGGGTACTGACCTACGCTTAGGATGAGCCATGGAATTACCCACAGATACCTATGGTTCTTTAAAAGTATGGAGCTAAATGCTTATACAAATCAAAACTGTTATTCTTACTATTGCCCCATCCTCTCATCTTTTCAAAGGTTTTTGGGGTTTGTTCTCTGCCACTTCATTTATAATAAGTAAAATACTATTTCATGTCATTATGTCTTTGTCATTTTACTGTCTAGACAATAAACAACCTCATTTAACATTTGTTTTGTTGTACTTTTTCTAGATAGGCAAAGTTGGGGGTGGGTGGAGATAAGAGAGAAAGTACATAAGAAATAAAATTCTGCTGTAATGTTCTATTACCTTGTAATGTTTCTTTATTGATTTAAAAATAACATTTTCCATTGACTAGAATTTTCTATACAAAAAGTTCTCCTTGGGCGTAGAATAATAAGATTTCTAAATGAACTTGGTATATTAACATAATGTAGAGCTTTTGAACACAAGAGTCATAGAAATAATTTATAAACAACTTTCTAATCACCAGGGAGTGAAATCAATATAAGGGATTGTGATAGGCAATTTTTTTACTGATGTATAAGATGCTGGAATAGAAAATATCAAATTGCATCACTTCAAGTATCATTTTAAGCAACTTCTGTTCTGATTGTATATTTATATGTAAACACATATGGTATGGCCCACCATCAACAAAGTTTGCATGCCACTGACTTGGCGTGGGGGTGAGGTGAGCAGCACACACAGCCAGACACGACTGCTGTGGCCCCCCTGCCCCCCTGGAGCTCTGACTACACTGAGTTTCAAGCCTCTTCTGCAGAGTCTCAGCAATCTCACTTCAGCAGGTCTATGGATTTTCCCAACTTCTCTTGAGAGCCCTTTGGAAGCCTGGGTAATACAGAGAATTTCCTGTCATGGACGAGAAAAAATAAGTAGTTGAACTTGTTTTTAAAGAGGCTGCAGTTGCTGGTTCACTCACCATTAAGTGTCAGTTAGTTTAGAAGAAAGGAAACTAGTTATTTTGCCCAGATTATCTACCTTCACCCAGAGAGAACTAACTCAGTAAAGCTCATGTTAATTTCTAGAAAAGCATGTCAAAGCATATATCCCTTTACTGTAAGTTGCAATATTTTAACCTGAAAGAGGACAGCATATGATCACCAGTGACCTGTGAAAGTATGAATTCAGAATATATCTCCTAATATTTCTCCAAAATGTGGAGCATGTAACTGACATTCAGTACATATGTAGTGGTCATTGTCTAAGATTTGTCTTGAACTTGTAATATCTTTAGGTTCACAGAAAATTATCCTGATTTAATCATCACATTGTACACAGATATTGATAGTCAACTCTGTATCCCACAAATATGCATAATCAATTATGTTTTAATAAAAAAAGAAAGAGAATAGATCATTTGCTGATTGAGAGGAGAACTAAATGTCGTTTGTGTTATCTTTTATATATCATCAAAAATTTAAACATGCAGAAAAATATACAGAGTAATATTAAAAACACCCCTGTACCCACCACTTAGCTTTGTCAAATTTTAACATTTTGTCTCATTTGCTTCAGATCTTTTTTCAAAGAAAAAAATATTACAGATCTAGTTGGATTTCTCTGTTTCCCTCAGTGATTCTATACACTTGAAAAGTAACCATTACTTTGATTAAATTTCTTGACAGTGATTCCTGTGCAGTTCTTCATCCTTTTACTATATATGTTTGCTTCCATAATTCATATATACTGCTGCACAATTTTGTAAATTGTATGTAAATGGTATCATACTTTGTTTTAACTTATTATTTTTGCCCAATATTTATATGTTTGTATATGCAGATCAAAGTCATTTATTTTAAATATTCTACAGCATTTTGTTTGATTACACCACAATACGTGTCTGTTTCACTAATAGATATTAATGTTGTTTTCAGATTTTTCATCATTGCAATGAATGCTACAATGAACGTTCTTGCCTGTGAATTCCTATGCATAAGTGTAATAATTTCTGAGGAGATACAATTACCTTGAAAACCTTTGTTGGATTTATTCCTATTTTCTTATGGTTTTGTTAACATTAAAATTTCAATTAAAAATTATATTTTTAAATTGTTTGTGGCTGCCCCTTTTGGGATGCAGCCAAGTATTATATAATGTGTCACAGTTTTACAGAGAAAGAGGAGTTTTAACACATGAGAAATTACTAATCTTCCTCTCTGAAAAGAAATTTAGGAACAGATAGAATCAACAAAATTTTTTTAAACGATTTTTCAAAGTATGCATTTTGCAAAGCATAAAGTTGTGTGGACCTTTTCAGTTTGCATTTTAAACTGCCTGAGAAGGAAATCAGAAGCCATGAAGGAATCGATGTAAAAGGAAAAGAAAAGGGCAAAATTATTCCCTATTCTGAGTTAAGAAGTAATAGATGGTAGGGAAAAATGTAGTGATGTATACTCCCTTCAAATTAGTAATAAACACATCACTGTTAAGTAAATACACCAAATTAGGGATGAATTTACCCATAACACATTATCAAAACATGTAGTTATTAAATTGGAGATTTGGTATGTAAATTAACTATAAAATTATAGATTTTTTCCATGTTATTATTATTTTTTTGATAACACAACCCGCGAGTACAAATTCTCCCATCTATCAATGGTATTTTTAAGCATCTTCTCAAGCTAATTTCATGAACTGATGGTTCAATAGGATCAAATAGTTAAAATAAAAGAGCCACTTTGAACCCTTCACAATGGTTTTTCACTTGAGTAACAAAAAAAGATATTTCTTCAGTATACTACTGTTATTCACTTTTACAATATTTCCTCAAAGCTTCTATATTTCTCCAGATGTGAAGTTTGAAAATTTATGCTTATAAACGTTATAACCATGGTTGGAAGGTGTTAAGTACAAAATTGGGAGGAAGGGAGGGAGGGAGGGAGGGAAAGAAGGGAGAGCACGAAAAAAAGACATCCAGGTTGATACCAAGACCAGAATTTGGCTTTCCCCATTCTCAAATCACTACCCAGATAAGGAATTACCTCTGGCCTTGATCCACAAGGACCATAGGGAAGACAGGACAACATATCTTACAGAATCAAAGAAAGTTCCTTGGCCTCAGGCTGCATCCTAACCCAGTGAAGCACAGTGATATGCTCCTGGGTCCAGCTTTAAAGAACAAGCATTTGCAAATGGGAAGCCCTTCTCACCTTGC